GAAATTACTTTTGTTTTCTATGTTGGTAGTAGGATCAGGAATTGAGTCCTTATGCTCTCTCTCTTTCTCGGCTTTCTTTCTCAGGGTTGGTGTTCTACCACCTAAACCACACCTCAAGCCCAGCTTTTTGTTGGCTTATTGGAGATAGAGTCTTTCAGACGGTTCTGGCTGGCTTTGAACTGGCTTTGGACTGTGCTCCTCTAGGTGTCAGCCTTTGGAGTAGGTAGGATTATAGATGTGAGGCACTCACCTAAATTCTTGCCTAAAAACATATCCATTTGTGTCTCCCCATAAGTCGATCTCAAACAGGTGCTACATTCTTGCAAATGAAAAGTTTTGCTAATTCTTCCTGTGGGAAGAAGAGTCCATCATTCTCATCTCTTTTTGGTCCATTTAAGTGTAATCATCTTTAAGAAACACTGGCTTCGGCCCAAAAAGAACATCAAAAGATCACTGGTCCATGGACTGACTCTCAAGACTCCAGGCTAGTTCCTTGCTTCATTTCACCTTTTTCTTTCCCCTGATTTCTCCAGCTTGTCCTGTCATTTACATTAAAGCTGTACATCTTCTTCTTAGCTTGGGGTAGACACATGTATGCTCACCCTGTTTGGGATCCTAGGGATAAGAATCATGGGTAGAACTGAAGACAGACCACCTGCAAGAGCCTAGGGCCAGCAGAGAGACCTCTCCATAGGCAATGGGCTTTTATTTTATCTTTCCTTTAAGTTGCGAAGTGCTGTTCAAATTCCTTTCTCCTCACTATGGCCAGAATGTTAAATAAATTCAGTTTTGTCTCTCTTTATTATATATAAATTATATTTTTGTCTCAATATTCTTTTGTTTTTGTTTTTGGTCGGTTGTGGATCTTGAACTCTGGGCTTGGGCGCTGTCCCTCAGCTCTTCAGTTCAAGGCGAGCACTCTACCGCTTGAGCCACAGCACCACTTCCAGTTTTCTAGTGGTTTATTGGAGATAAGAGTTTCACGGACTTTCTTGCCTGGGCTGGCTTTGATTCTCAGATCTCAGCCTCCTGAGTAGCTAGGATTACAGGCATGAGCCTCTGGCGCCTAGCTCAATATTCTTTTCTCTTCATGCAGGTAAGCATTTGGGACCCATAGCCAGGCCTTAAAACCAGGGGTGCTAGCCACAGTGTGATTGATTTTCAAAGTGCTGTCTGCTCCACTTTGTCCTACCCTTGCTGTGGTAAGTCGACCCTCAGTGGATCACTTCCTTTCTGCTGACATCTTGCGGACTTCATTCTGGAAGTGCCCTGACTGGAGAGCCTGAGAATCACCCAGAGGAAGTCTCACTTATGCAACTTCCTGGGCTCATTCTACAATGTTCATCAGCAAGTCTGTCGAGGGCTCCAAGAATTGGCCTACCTCTTCCGGTATCACAGGGATCACTGATGCAGTCATCCATGCATGGTACCCCAAGAAACAAGGTTGTACCTATCCAACACCACTTTCTACCTTCATCCCTTTCTCAGTTCCCTTATGTTTCCATCATTTAACTCATTCAATCTCAGCAGCTGGTTGAGTCTAGTAGTGCTCAAACTTTTGCAGAATATGTATCTATAAATCCCAGCACATCACCCACTCCCCATACCAATTCAATGATGTTGCTTGGAGTTAATGAATTTTTAATCAAGGTAGGATTACATGCAGTAAATGCATAGATATTAAATAATCCAGTTCAGTGAGTATTGATCGACAATAGTATTTGTCTGAGTGAACTATACCATGAGGAGTTATAGGACATTTACATCAGCCTAGAAAATATCTTCCTGTCCTTTCCAGCCACCCTTCCCTCACCCAGAGGCAAACACTGTGGTCATTTCTATGGACCATGCTGTTCAACATAGCCATTTCTGAATACAATGTGTCTTGATCCATGCCACTCTCTTCCCCACCCATCCTCAAGCTCTCTCTTTGTATATGTACATTGACTGTTCTGACTGCAGTTGCTCACCCTGCTTCTCTATACTCATTTTCTATACTACATTTCCAGACTGCATTTCCTACTCGCTCCTGCTTCACTGGCAGCACACATTACACTGCAATGCTTGTTGAGCAGTAGTAGTTAATTCCACCCTTTGCCTGTGGTATTTCTGTCCAGCTCTGCTGAATGTCTGGGTCTTTTAGAAGATACTAACACCATCTTCCAAGTGTAGTGGAATTAGACCAAAGCGTGAATAAGAGCCCTTTATTTACAGTGAAGTTTCTGCCATAATATATCATTTTGAAAATCCTTAAAAACCACCAAATGGTGTGTAGATAGTAATATAACCTATGATCTCACACAGACATAGCACTAATGTACTTATTTTCCTAAGAAACAATCGGAGACTTCTGATTCTACAATGAAGATCCTTCTAATTTGGAATTAGCATTGGAGAGTGATTTGTTTAAATACTGTTTTTCCCTAGATGGTCTGTGAGTGCCTAAAAGGGAAATTTCTTTTTAAAAAATTATTTTCCAATCCATTTACTTTTTAAAAAATGTTACTATTAAGGTGATGTACAGAAGAGTTACTGTCTCATAGGTCAGGAAATGAGTACTTTTCTTTGGGGCAATGCTGCCCCTTCTTTCACTCTCTCCCTAGTTTTTCCCTCTTGTCCCTGCCTTGAAAATTTCTTAATTAATAGAGCTTCCTTCAAAGCTAAAACTCAGGCCTTACACTCTAGTGTTCTGTCTCGTCTGTATACTTTAGGGTCTTTCTCCTCACCCAAGAAGTATTTCAGGAATCTGAGTGCCACTGAAATATCTGTAAATATTACCTAGTATGGTGTAGATAAAAACTTGACTTATTTTATTAGTACATATTCACTGAGGATCCTTTTTAAAGTTATTAGAAAATGATAGCCACTTTTAATTTTTGGTGAAACTAGAGGTTGAGTTCAGGACCTAATATTTCCTGGACAGGAATTCCATCACTTGAGCTAAATCCAATCCCCTTTCTGCAGTGGTGTTTTTTGTTTGTTTGTTTTTGTCGATTGTGGCACTTGAACTCTGGGCCTGGGCGCCGTCCCTCAGATCTTCAGCTCAAGGTGAGTGCTCTACCACTTGAGCTACAGCGCCACTTCCCATTTCCTAGTGGTTAATTGGAAATAAGAGTCTCACGGACTTTCCTGCCCAGGCTGGCTTTGAACAGTGATCCTCAGATCTCAGCCTCCTGAGTAGTGTTTTTGAGGTCGCCTTTATGCCTAGGCTGGACTGAGCTACAGTTCCCCATCTGTGCTTCCCTGTGTCACCAAGGATGACAGGCACACGCCACTGTGCCTAGCCATTGTGTTTTCTTCTAGACTGGAATAGCAGGTGTGTGCCTGCTCTGCCTACCCATTGGTTGAGATGGGGTCTCATAAGCTTTTATGCCTAGGCTGGCCTTGAGCTATGATTCTCCAATCTTTGTCTTTCAAGTAGGCTGGGATTACAGGCTGAAGCCACCACTCCCAGCTTCATCTATTTTTTAAATCATAAGTCATTTCATGAGACTACTACTACTATACCAGTGCTGCCACAAAGTGGAGCAAAACCATCGATGACCAGGAGTGACCAGGTCAGCCTTCAGTGGGAACACTAGAAGCACACATATCATGGGCATCCAGAGCAGAATGACCTACTTTTTGACCCACTGTTTGTTCCTGTCTCAACAAAAAACTGAATCAGAGCTAAGACTGTTTCCATGATGTGATTCCACTCTCTTCCTTGTCAAGCCCTGACTTGTTAATGGCTCTTGAGAGAAAGCTCGTGAACGTTGACTTCTTGTGCAGAGTTCCACAGGGCTTTCTGGAGCAGGGAACATGAAGATGCTAGGGCTTCCCGATTAGATTTTAAGTCTATTGATCACCATGGAGATAAACCCATGCCCTGCTTCAAAGGAGCCATTTCAGCGCATGACAGGTGACACTCGGGCTTTCGGCAGCTGTGAATGCCACTGTTGGAATCCTTAAAAGCTCCTTTCTGAACCCAGGCAAGAGAACCAACTTCAGGGAGACGCTGAAATGTACTCTGACATACTTCTGTGAACTTACTCTTACCCAAGTCCTGCAAGTTCAACCCCCAGGTCCTCCATTGGGAGCATAGTCCATAAAAATAGAGACATCAATTTGCCAATTACTTGTTTTAAATAAAAACATGTATACTAGATCAACTGTTTCCGTGGAGACTGTCGAAGGCATGAGGGTACACACTTGCAACCCCAACTTCTCAGGAGGCCATTGGAAAATCAGCCAGCCCAGGCAAAAAGCTGAAGGCCTATTTGAAAAATAATGGAAGAGAAGGTGTTGGTGCATGCCTCAAATGGTAGAGCCATTGCTTACTAAGGCCCTCAGTTTAAACCCTAGTCCTTCTAGGGGGGGAAAAGTATGGATATTTTCCCCCTGTTAAACAGCATGGATTGACTAGGAATTTCAAGTTAGAGTGAGAAGCTGTATTGACAGTTCAACAGTAAAAGATAAAAAGACAATCAGTTCATAGCAATCATCTTTCAGATGGAGTCAAGTGGTGGTGATACTTGGATGATACCCAGCATTGTGGAGAGAAGTAATCATTTCGACCACCCACTGCAGGTGGGTAGACAGAGAACTTGCCTTTGGGGATGAGGAGAAGCAGGGGTCTCAAGTCATGGGACAAAAGGGACCATGTGGAGAATCAGGACTGAGCCTCTGGGCAGGTGGGGTGGAGCTGCCACTCACCGGGTGGAAAGCCCATGGCTTCCAGCCTCTGCAGGACCAGGGGCCTGGACGGGGGTGTTTCTGGGCCCCTCCCCACCAGGCTGGTTGCATCTTTGCACACATTCCTTTGGGGGAAGTTTCCTCCCCCTCCACCCCCTCCCCACAGATGGGATCCCCCACCCCCTCACAGATGGGACAGAAAATGTGCACAGATCCCTAGTGGAAGCTGCTGTCCACGGCCCACTGGAGCGGGACTGGGCGGGCCCGGGAGGGGCTGGGCTTCCCCTTCAAAGCTTCAGGCTTGGGCTGCAGCCAGGGCTGCCAGTCCTCCTTTGGGGAGCACATGCACAGCATCCCGGGCTGCCAGGTGATCTAGTGGGCTTGTGGTGGGGTCTGGAGTCCTAGAGCGGGCTGCTCCAGTGTGCAATGTGGGGTGGGACAGGGGTGCGATCGGAGCTGTACCTCCTTATTCAGTTTCTGGTCTTGGAGGCCCTGGGAGCACCCAGTCCTCTGAGAAGGAAAGGAAGAGCCTCAGGAGCAGTTCCACACTCGTGATCCCATCCTCATCCTGTCCTTTCCTTACTATGAAATACCACTCTCCTCCCCTCCCCCCTCTCCTCACTCCTGACTTCTTCCCTTACCCCTTCTCCTTCCTCTCATCCCCTTTTCCCTCCCTGCCCTCCCCTCGTTGTCTTTCCCTCCCTCCCTCCTTCCCACCCTCCTCCTTCCCTTCCTTCCTTTTTTCCCTCTTTCCTTCCCTCCCCATCTTCTTCTTTTCTTCTCTCCCTCCCTCTCTTATCTTCTCTCCTTCCCCCTTCTCCCTCTCCCTCCCTCCCACCCTCCCTCCCTTCCTTTCTTCCTTCTTTCCTTCCCTCCCCATCTTCCTCTTTTCCTCCCTCCCTCCCTTTCTCATCATCTCTCTCACCCTCTTCTCCCTCTCCTCCCTCCCTTCCTTTCTCTCTCCCTTCCTCCCTCCCCCTTCCTTTCTTTGAGAAAAGGGGAGGTAGAAATGAGGAAGAAGGCAGGACCAGCAGAAGGCTCATCTTTGACTTCCTTGGACCCCCTCTCTCCCAGTGCCCTTAAGTTGTCAGGGCAGGGCCTGGTGGGGAGGAGTCCGGCTGTCCCTGGACACGGTCTCTCCCTCCTCTATAGCCAAGAGTCAAGTAAGCAAAATGTCTCCCCTTGGCCCTCTCTTCTCTATCCTGTGTTATTTCATTGCTATGAGTTTGGCAAACTCGCTTGGGGATTTCTCTGAGGCTCCAGCTTGTATGCATGATTTTGGATTTCATACTTGAATCTTTCTGAGGAGGGTCTATAGATTTTATTTGATTTCCCTGAAAACTAAATAAGGTCACAACTTTAGACCCCCATCAACACTGCAAGTTTTAATAGTCTTCTGAGGTGATGGTGTTTCCTTTTAGAAAGCGGAATAGAATGAAGAGCCAAGAGGTATCTTGAAAGTCAGGGGGAGAAATTTCTGCTTGGGTGTAGGGAGAACAATACTTAGGTTAAGATTGCTCTAGTTCATCTGCAACTATGTAGATAAGCAAGATAAATCTTGGTGACAGGTTCTCTGGATAGCGTCCTCTTGGCAACCAACAATGGCCCCAGCTGTGGAGAGCCCGGGAATTGTTGGAGGTGAATGAGATGGCTTTCTGAGTGACCACCTCCCTAGTCCATGGGAGAGAGCTGAGGATCTGATACCAGAGCTGCGCTGGAAATGCCTAAGGTGAGAGGTGAACTGTGGGTGTCTGTAAAGGTTATGAATACGGATGATGCAAAGCTTATGGACACCCTAGAACAATCTGTCTTCAGAAATCCTGCCGACGGGGTAGACACGCTGGGTATCCTGTCCTCTGCACAGATGCCATTTCTGACCCTACTTTTTCTTTTTTTATACATCATGGAATCCCAGCATCTCCATCTTTGAGGTTTGTGGGTGAACGGGCATGAAAAAGGAATGGTCTTGGAACTGTATTTTCTTTCTTTTTGAGGTTTTTTTTTTAAAGTCTTTAAGTAGTTGTACAGAGAGAGTCCAGTTTAACATGAGTTTGTGAGTACTCAGCATCTCAATCAACATCACATCATTCTTCCCCATCTCTCCCACCTCTACCTCTCCTTTCAGGTTACCTGGTTCCATGGTGCCTTGAAGATTATGACTACATTCACCCACCTTCCTTCTCTTTATTTGTCTGTTCCCCTTTCTGCTGGACCTCTCCTCCTCTGACAACACATGTTCTAGATTCCTGGTATTCATTCTGTTAGACACCGTTGGAATCGCCCTTGTGTATACTGTGCTGCAGTTACTACGTTCGTGGATGTATGCATATGGCCCCGTATGATTATACTTATGTTCATAATTTAGATCTAGCCTCCATAGGTGAGAGGAAACATGAATCCTTGGTCCCTCTGAGCCTACTTATTTCACTTCACATAATTTTTCCAGGTCTATCCATTTTCCTGCAAATGACATGATATTCTTCTGATGGATGAAGGAGAAAAGAAACTGCCTTTCTCTACTTAGCTCTCTATTCAGACTGATTTATAGGTGCTGTTTTTCTTTTCTTTTGTTTTATTTATATATAACACATTTTTTAAAAAAGCACACAACATGTTTTGGTGAAGCTAGGGGAGAGAGTTTAAATTTCTTAGTTAATCCTTACTACCTTTCAATTGGTTAGTTGCCATTCAATTCCAAATGGAACTGTTGGTTTTCAAAACATTAAGGTGGCTATTTCTACCTACAACTTGCCTTTTCCTGATAGGATTTATTACTTAAAATGTCCCCATAACATGGCTTTATTTGGTGAAGGCAGGATTGTAGTTTTGTCTCTTACTTTAAGTTATTAAAGAACCAAACATTGCTTTTGCTTTCGTGGATTTGTTTTTTTCTCCCTAGCCCTTTGGCCCAGGCTGAGTCTTGCTGATATTACTGGTTGCTCTTTAATGAATTTACTAATAATGCAAGTATTTGTCACAGCCTTCTGGGTATCATTCCTGCAGTAAGTATGAGGTGTCTTGTGTTCCTGCTTTCAAGGAATCAACAGACAAGCAGCTTAGACTTGCAAATCTCTCTTCTGTCCTCCTCACTCTTCTGTTGAGCCATGTCTCAATTAGAATGATATATTCTAGAAGATTCTAGAAGATGTAAAGATTGCTGTTAAAGTAATCTTTCTCTCATCTTCTACAGCAAAGCTGTACAGACTGCTACTAAAACAGTTTGTTATTTAATCAAAGAAAGCCATAAAACAATATAATTGTGATTTAATTATCAAAAGCAATCTTTAGTAGCAGTCTTTACAGCTTTGCTGTAGAGAGAGACAAGATGCAGCCTGGTGGTTCTTGACATCTTGAGAACTCACTTTGGGAACTTGAGACTTCAGGGATGCCATGGGCATCACCATTGTCTCCGAGGTTTAAGTTACTGCTGCTTTTAGTGCTCAGGCTCAGGTTGTTCATCTGGTCAGGGGAGAAGCTACAAGCCATGATGTCCCGGGCTCAGGGAGCCCCCGGATGGCCAGTAGGGCCTGGCTCCTCTCCTCTGTTCTTTCATTGTGAGCAGTGATGGCTCTGTGAGGAGCCTTTCTGGTTAGCCTAGGTTAGAGGAGAAATACTCACCTTCTACAAGTAATACAGGATCTAGGGAACCCCAGCCTCTTCTCCAAGGATTTCAACAGCCTTGAAGGGGAGCTCTGTCTCTTGCTCCTCTTTCCATACTACATACAGAATAGAAGTCACAAGTCTCTAAAGGCATTCCAATCTCACCCTGACTCCATGAGATCCAGAAGAATATATTTTTAAGGCTAGCCATCTGGGGAGGATTCTATGGATGTGTGCTTTATTAGTTTGGGGTCAGCCTGGAATACGCCTCCACGTGACTCAGAGCAAACGCCCAGAGGTATAGGTTTTGACACAACATTTTGTGTCAGATGCTAATGAGGGGCATAGCCTTACCAGGAACCAGGATCCCGGAGCGCTTCTGAAACTCCAAGCTTACCATTGTTTAATCAATTGAATATGAATTGTAAAAATTTGTCTTTGCGTAGTTGTACAAAGCAGTTTTAATTTATCATTGATTTATGAGCATCATGCATCTTGATTTATGTCACCCCTTCCATCATTATTTACATCACGAGATCCTCGCTCTACTCAAAGGAGTCAGTATGATGAATGTTGGCATTTCACATGGGTCACATTGACTTATTGAGCTCTTCGGTTGTGACCTCTCACTCATCGATGCTATTCTTGAACACTTAGGATTTCCTTCTTACCTAGCCATTATATGAGACGCCTAGTCCTGCAACCATCCCACCTCCCTCAGCATCCTGGTCCATCACAGTCTAGCAGTGTGAGCTAGAACACATCAGTGTGTTCTTCTCGCCTCAATGTCCTGATCTGTAATATGAGTTCCCTTAGTACTCCCTCCTCAGTCCCTGTGAGAAATAAATGAATTTATCTGTGTAAGACACATAATGTCTTACAAGTGTGAATGCCTCTATACACAGGAAGCAGGATTATTTTTTTCATTACTATTTTGTTTTTCTTTCCATCTTCATCTCTGAATACTCCTTTAGATAATCACAGACATGTGGGAATGCATGGGTCCTAGACCGTCTACCATGTCTCAGTGCCTCCGCAATGCTGTTCCTTCTTGCATAAAACTCCTTTTCCCCTTCTTCAATTAGAAGTGTGCTCCTCTTGCTACGTTTGGCTTAAGTATTCCGTCCTCAATGACCTTGCTTTAGTGCCTCTTGCTAGTGTCTAGGCAACTGCTTTGTTTAGCTCTCAGCAGCTTTCTAATATTCATCTACCAAAAGACTTACTTGTTAACAGCTAGTTAATCTTTACTGAGAATGCATTATGTGCACTAAATGTTTATCTTGCTACTTAACAGTGTATGGACAGTTCCATGAGGTAGGGTCATATGTTTTGTCAAAATGATGTTTTGTGTCCATCTCCCCTGGTAGATCTTGGTAGTGGCTTATATATCTATGCATGTTATTAATTTGATATCCCTGGGACTTGGTAGAGTACCTAATTAATACACATTGGCTGCCCTATAAATGTGTAAGTGAGTACATTTTTCCAACAGCTATTAACATCCAAATAAGTGGCTAATTATAAGTTACTCTCCTTTTAAAATAATCTTTCCTCATTGCAGACATGCCCTGTGAGAGTTTTAGTAGAGACCTGGAGGAAGGAAGTTAAAATCGCATTTTTTTTTCAGACCTGGAAAGCAGACTCCACCTGCTTAGGGTTTCACACAACTACTAAGTAACTAAACCAATCTGCAGATCCCTTCACCTGCCCCTGCTCTTCAGTGCGAGGACCCACCCCAAACACAGTCCTCCAGACAAGCTATCATAATGGAGCAGAAGAGCTGACATTTGAAATTAAATCTACTACACATACAGTGTTATAATGCATGAAATGGCCATTAGAAAAAGTTCACAGTGTCCAGATCTTCATACTTGTGGATTGCTCAGTGACTCAGGGTGATATTGGTAAAAGTCAACAGAATATAGATTGAGAGATGGCACAGAGAGGCCTCGCAGGGAGAGAATGGTTTCTAAGTCAAAGGAAAGTGTTTGGATCCCAGCTGAGTCACTGATGAGTTATCAGGGGCAGGCTGCAAAACCTCTCTGCCTTCGCTTCTTCTGTGAAATGCAGAGAATAAGGAAGGCATTGTAGTGCTTTGTGAGGCTGACAGGTAACAGACCCGGGGCCTGCATGGGACGTGGTTATTGGAACATTTCTGTCATTGAGCGTGAGATGATGGTGACAGTGAATCACGGTGACTTGCTGAACAGATTGCTTTCCATAGATACCTCCCCGACCTCTCATCCTTCCTTTTTTATGATCTGATGACAACTCTAGGGCTTGAACTCAGGGCCTGGGCGCTGCCCTTGAACCTCTTTGTACTCAAGGCTAGCATTCTACCACTTGGGTCACAGAGCCACTTCTGGTTTTTTGAGTGTTTAAATGGAGATAGAAGTCTCACAGGGACTTTTCTTCCCAGGCTGGCTTCGAACCACGACCTTCAGATCTCAGCATCCTGAATAGCTAGGATTAAAGGCATGAGTCATGGGTACCCAGCTTGTCATTTGGCCTTTTTACTCCATGTTGGTGCTCTACAACTTGAGCCACACCTTTATTTGCTAGAGTGATTTTCATTTTAAAAAATCCACCCTTGTTTTCCTTCCCTGATCATGACTGTTTCCTGTCTTCCGCCAGCTGGTTAACTCTCATTGGACTCCGATAGCCAAATTGAACCGTCTGGCCTTGCAAGATGAAGCAGCCACGAACGAACCCCTGGTTGGCTTAGCAAACACTTCTGATGTCTCCGATAATGTGACTGCTTTGGGCAATTGCTCGGATGAGAAGATGTTGATCCGCATGCACTACCTTCCTGTGATTTACAGCATCATCTTCCTCGTGGGTTTCCCAGGAAACATCGTAGCGATTTCAACGTATATCTTCAAAATGCGGCCCTGGAAAAGCAGCACTATCATCATGCTGAACCTGGCCTGGACAGACCTGCTGTATCTCACCAGCCTCCCTTTCCTGATTCACTACTACGCCAGTGGAGAGAACTGGATCTTCGGGGACTTCATGTGCAAGTTCATCCGCTTTGGCTTCCATTTCAACCTGTACAGTAGCATCCTCTTCCTCACCTGTTTCAGTATCTTCCGTTACCTGGTCATCATTCACCCCCTGAGCTGCTTTTCCATACACAAAACCTGGTGGACGGTAGTAGCCTGCGCTGTGGTGTGGATCATTTCGCTGGTGGCCGTCCTGCCCATCACCTTCCTGATTACATCCACCACCAGGACTAATCGATCGGCCTGCCTTGACTTCACCAGCTCAGATGACCTCACTACGATCAAATGGTACAATCTCATCTTGACAGCCACCACCTTCTGCCTCCCCTTGGTGATTGTGACCCTTTGCTACACGACCATCCTCAACACCCTGGCCCATGGTCTGCAGACACACAGCTGCCTCAAGCAGAAAGCTCGGAAGTTAACCATTCTGCTACTCCTCGTGTTCTATATCTGCTTCTTACCCTTCCACATCTTGCGGGTCATTCGGATTGAATCTCGTCTGCTCTCTCTCAGCTGTTCCATGGAGAATAACATCCACGAAGCTTACATCATTTCTCGACCCTTAGCTGCCCTGAACACCTTTGGGAACCTGTTACTCTACGTGGTCGTCAACAATAACTTCCAACAGGCCATCTGCTCCATTGTGAGGGCCAAACCCAAGGCGGACCACGAGCAAGCCAAGAAAACCATTTGTTCAAACAACCCCTGAAAGGTTCCATTCACTCAACAACAACCCTGCCAAATCTTTGCCTCTAATGCATGTGAAGTGCTGAATCTGACCCTCAGTGGCTCTCTCAGTAGCTTCTGTATTGAAGTGACGCCATGCCAGAGTAAGGACAGAACTACCAAGAGCTCTTTGCATGATGTTTATTGAGCTCTTCCCTTGAGAAGACCCATCTACGAGATCCATGTGGACTCATGAAGTATCTAAACACAGAATCACCAACACTTGGACCTCAGGGCCATCCCAGAGAATATCCGTTCTTAGCCATTTATTAGATACACCTGGAAACTGAAATCCACACATCTTGCCTTGGATCCCTATACATGATTGGTGAGATAGGGAAAACATAAGACCCAGCATTCACTTCCAATTACATGTTCTTTTACTCATGGGGCCTTTTTGCATTGAGGCCTTAGACTGGGTATTAATTTTTCACATCTTACATTGTCAATTTTTTTTCCTTTCAAATATCACTTTGTGATCCAAACAAACCAGTAAAATATACTTAGAATAATTCAAGGGTGTCAATACAAGTAGCTGGAATTAGTCCTTGTAAGATATTTGGGGATGGGCTGGGAAGGTGGCTCAGTGGTAGAGCGCTTGCCTTGCATGCCTGAGGCCCTGGGTTCGATTCCTCAGCACCACATAAGCAGAAAAAGCTGGAAGTGGCACTATGGCTCAAGTGGTAGAGTGCTAGCCTTGAGCTGAAGAGCCAAGGGACAGCACCCAGGCCCAGAGTTCAGGCCCCCACAACTGGCAAAAAAAAAAGATATTTGGGGAGGGGTACCATGTTTTTTTAAAATTGTGGTACACCATCATAAAAATTGTTCCTGAATTTATAAAAATTATCAAGGCATATCCGTTAACATCCACATACCCTAGGAATCAAGGAGACACATTTGGAGACAGAACTATCATGTGTTTATTGGGTTTTAATCAGATCTAATGTTTTAATTTCAGTGAGTAAATACTCAAGGAAATTCTCTTTGGATAACTTGCCCTTTTATGACTACAATGAAAATGTATCTATTGAAACAGCAAATGACATTCTTGAATTATGTGTTTTTAATTATCAGTAAGTGTAAATAGTGGAGAAAATACCTACTCTAGAATTAAATCCCAGTAACTATTAATGCAACTAATAAACTTTAAAGAATAACTGGATACACTGTCATATTTTGTTTCCTGTGAGAATGCAGTTTAACCATTATTATACAGACATGAAAGTTATTGGATCCACAGTTAGAGAACAAAAGGATTTACAGATTGATTGTAGACAAAGGCTGGAATACATGCCAGAGGAATTCTCCACAACTCTCAGGGATGTGTAGGACAGTACCTCTGATTTAGACCCAAGAGTGGAGGGTTGTCAGAAGCCAGGCCTATGGAGGGGTGGAAGAGATGGGGAGAGAATTCAGAAAGTCTGTGGCTCTGAACTTGAACTTCCCTGGTTGGTGGCATTCCATCCAACCACCACCACCTTTCGAACATCCCTTTAGTAACTTCCTCAGCTCCCCGGGACTTTCCTAGAATAGCCGGAATGAATTTCACTAGGGCACCCCAACTTGCCCCTCCATGCTGGATGCTCAGCATCCCATAGTAATTAGAGACCCACTTGGAATGGTATTCTTTTCTGGCTCTTCTTTTTTCCTCTTTGGGCCCAGCCCAACCTCTGGGACATCACCAAAGTAATGGACCAGCCTTTACATCACTGATGTGTTTGTTATTCGAGCTGTAAACCCTTGCCCCGTTTCCTTTCTTCCTATCTATACTCCTGTGTAAACATCTCTCCCACCACAGAAAAGGCCCCTGGTGTCCCCCTTCCTGTCTAGCTTAGTTTGTCTCTATAGATTCTTCCATTTATTTCTTTCTCCCCAACAATGTACAGGGAAAAAAAATCATCTCTCTTTCTGAAATGACTTCTTTCGCTGTATCTATGCTCCTTGTTAATGTTCTCTAAGGGACCTGGCTCTAACATTGAATCCCACTTTCTCAAATTTTTAGCATTTTTATTAGCCTGGATAATTGACCTTCGCTCAGGAGTATGCATAATTTTTCATTATGGGCTCAATATCTTCCTTTGATTCAGCTTTCCTGCCATCCTATGACCTGACCTGCTTTCTGTAATAGCCGGGCAGGTGCAGGTGACAATTATTTGCCCACCAGGGCTTTGCAGACCTCACAGAATCACAAGGATCCCAGCGAAATTGAATTCAAAGGGCCACTTTTATTTTCCCAAGTAAAGAGTTCTGAGCTAATTGTGCTAGAGGCTGCATTTTGAATGGAGGCCAAACACTGGCTGGATGATGTTGCTTCCCAGGCTGGGTTGGTCTTGCCTGGAACCAACAGTCACAGCAGAGACATCTCGAGAATGGACAAGTGGAACTCAGACTGTGTGTGCCAGACAGGAAACTGCCTGGCAATGCTCATGGGTCAAGGGCTGACGAGGGAGAACCCAGATAAACCTGCTCAAACTCCAGACACATAGCAATACCTCCATTTTGTATCCGAGAAACAGTCAAAACTCACAAAATTGTCTGGGTGCTCATGGCTCACACTTGTAAACCCAAGCTACGCAAGCTGGGGCAGAAAGGTCTGAAAGAGTCCATCTCCAAGATATCCAGCCAAAAAGCATGGCTGGAGGCATAGCTTAGGTGGCAGAGCACCAGCCTAGCAAGCAAGCTGATCAAATATTGGGCTATGAATTGAAACTCCGGTATAGGGGGGCCAAGGGTGGGGAGACTTCAGTCACAAAGCTAGAGCAAGCAGCAAAACCACTTCATTCACTCCTGTCTAAATTTCCTCCATTCATATTTGAGCTAGCTCTTCTCTTTTTTTTTTGCTAGAATTATTCAAAGCAAATCCTAGCCAGTGTAGAATTTCATGTATAAGTATGTCTGAAATAGGTAGATAAAACAGGGTCTGTGGTGGTCATAGCCACTTTAGATCTGGTCTTCTAAACCACCCCTGCCTCATGATCCTAACTCCTAGCCTCTTGATCATCAAAAAGTACTGGTATGTGTCCCTCAGGCTAGACAAAGGGACATCAAATCTTGATGGGAAGGCTGTTTGCTCAACAAAATGAAATTGCCGTCAATGGCATGGACACAGTACTATCCTTGGCTGTCCTTAAATCAACTTGGAGGAGAGACTGCTAATTAAGGCCTCCTGTTTATACACCGCATGCCATTAATATAATTATAACAAAATGCATTGTGGGAATAGGCCTGCATAGTTTAACGTCTTATATAATCACCACCTGCCATTTATAACTATTTGTCACAAAGGGTCCTTTCAGTGAGAGGTAGCCTCTAATCTTCTCCTAAGCTCCTAGGAAAACACACAAAACCAAAACCAAATAGAAATACACAAAGCTGCCAGGCTCTGGTGGTTCATGCTGAAATTCTAGCTACTCTGGAGGCTGAGATCTAAGGATAGTATTTGATCTAAGGATTGTGTTTCAAAGCCAGCCTGGGCAGGAAAGGGCTGTGAGACTCTTATTTCCAATTAAGCACCAGAAAACTGGAAGTGGAGCTGTGGCTCAAAATTGTGGAATACTGCTAACCTTGAGCAAAAGAAGTTAGGAATAGCACCTAGGTCCTGAATTCAAGCCCCACTACTGACTCAAAATATATACATATATATTCTTTAAAATACTATTCTTTAAAAAGTCCAAAATGTGTTGATTTGATGAATCTGGATATGCAATTGTCTGGTGTAAATGTGTTAACAGTTATATTTTCCTTGTCATAGTTCATGCCCTTTATTAATAGAAAGTGACCATTTTGGTCTCTTTGACTGACTTCTGTTGGAAATGTATTTTATCAGCTATAAATATGTTTATTCCACCCTGCTCTGAAGGTCCATTTTCAGGAAGAACTTTTTCCATCCTTATACCTGGAACTTGCATTTGTCTCGCTTTTGTTTGCCTTGTCTACACTCTTTTTTTTTTGTCTTATGTGTCTAATAAAATTTTAAATGTAATACCAAGCATTGTAAATAAATTATTGTTGAGTTCTATTATTTTCTGAAGACTTTTTAAATGGAGAAAAGACATATAAATTCATTCACTATAAGGGAAAGAACTGCAGGAATGTGGCTGCCTCCAATTTGTTTTGTGTTCTTTTGTTTTCTTGTTGTTAGTTTGACCTTGAAATTATGTTGACTTGGTTTCCATGATTTTTAAGAACAGACCTGCAGAAGGTGTAATATGTTTTCTAGTAGTACCCGATGACCAAAGTGTTTCCCTGGTGGTTTTGGCCAGACTTTGATTTGGTTGCGTTTGTGGGTTATTTTGGAGATGGACTATTAGGAAGTTTTCTGCCTAGCCTGACCTCAAACTGTGATACTCCTATCTCTGTCTTCATAGTAGCTGGGATTACAGGCATGAATCACAAGTGTCAGTCAAGACTTGTATTTGGAGTTTTATTTGTTTTCAAAACAAACCTAGAGTGGGGCTGGTTTTTGGGCACATCTTCACTGCTTAGTCACTTTTCTGTTGCCTCACCTAGCTGAGTTGATGAGGGATTGATGAGGTTTTGTGGGGGGGGCCAGGCCTTTGTGTTCTCTATTGTCATATGATCATTCTTATCTCTGTTTCCAAAGCCACCTCCCTTGGAGGAGTTCCACCCAGTCTTGCCCTGCAGACTAGGCACTTGGCCCTAGAATCAGGGAATCCACTTCAGCCTCCACTCGCCACATTTTCCTCTGCCTGGCTGCCCTGCTCCATATACTTCCATACTCTTCTTGCCTTGCTATAATCTGCCCTGGCTCTCTGGCTCCTCAGCACACAGGGACTATTGTGCTCTATTGCAGCTCCAGAGCTTTGCACCCTGGTCAGAGTTTAGATGGTCATGAGACTTGTGGAATCGCTCCGAGTTTAACACCTGTTGTCCCATGCCTCAACCATTTTCCTTCGTGTATTTTGTTCAGCCAGCTTCATTGTTGTTTACAGGGAAACTCTACTGTGGCCTGTGCCAGGGGAGGGAGAAAACGCGCGTGGGGTGCTTCCTGTGTTTTCCATGAAAAGGCTTTGCTACTGTCCTTCTAAAGGAGATGGACTTTGACCGAAACAGTTTTAAGTCGCCTCCTGGAGCATGATAGTAAGATTATAACGATATTAGAAATTTTGGAAACCAGAAACTTACACTTGGATGGTTAAAACCACACAGAACCAAAGCTGATGGCAGAGAATCAGAAGCATTCTGGCCAGATCCAGAATATTCATTAGTTAGAGCTGCCAGCTTTCTCTGAAAGAACATTACAAGTAGGACCAGCACGGCAGGTTTTACAACTTTGAGTAAGAAACAATTGCACCCCCAGAAAATCTCCCTGTGCTTTGCTAAGCAGTGATGACTTTTCTATACCAGGATTTTTTTTATTCCAGAAAGATTTTGTAATTTAAGGTTTAGCAAGGATTTATTTTCCTTTAACAGACTGAAATAAGGAGAAATGGAAAGGAGAGAGGAAATTTTTGTGTTCTCTATGCAGGAAATGGGTTCAGA